ATTGACCGTCACATTATAATCGCCCCCACGGCTAGAAAGGCGAGCATGTTTGGTGTGATGGGGATTCTAACCCGCGACCCTCAGATTGCAAGTCGAGCGCTCTAGCCACCTGGCCATGCCGGGCCTGTTAGAAACTTAAAATTCTGTTTGCTAAGAAATGATTTAACTAATAAAGATTAAGCACAATATTAGTTAGAACAATGATATTTAAAAGATTAGTTAATTGAAAATGACATTATATGATAGAGTTCTTGTCTATTTTACAAAAATTCTAATATTTCTTATAAACTATTCTAAACAATCCATTAGATTCTATAGTCTCAATACCAAGAACGAGAAATTTGTTATTTTTCCTCTTAAACAAATAATTCTAAATTAACACATATATGATTTTTAAAATTATATATTTGTCAACGACAGTAAATACCTTCTACCAAAAACAGCAAAAAAAAAAATGGCATGTCACAAAAGATTAATGAAAATCATTAATCTTACTGTGTTTTTTATTCTATGCAAACTATGTATGACCAACTTTTTTCAAAACTTTACTTATAAACTAAGTTTCACTGAAATCAGAATTTGTATATGAAATTCAATACGAATAAAGCTTTCTAAACATTTTATTTCAAACACAAAAACTATAAGGGCTTAATAAATCCATTCGACGCATTGTGCCAAATACACACCTCACAAATGCATATTCCCCCATAACAGTCTCCATGCCCTGAACAATTGTCTACACATCTGTCTTCCATCAGACCCATCAAAGAAGAGAGATGGGTAATCACACTAGGTGGTGGATCATCACAGTTTAACATGGTTAAGATTTCTTGAAAGTAAAAAAGGTCCAAAATTATTAGTTTAAGAGCATGTCAAATGGATCGATAACAGGGAAAAAAAAGTGTCTTTACTCATAACATACACAAACCACAAACTATTACACACATTTTATGAAAACTTGTATACGCCTAATAAAGTTATATATAAAGCAAGTTGTTCATTTGATGAAGAAAATAAAAAAAACAAGGTGTCGGAAAAATACTAAATACATTAGGTCATCCTTGTCACAAAAAAAACAAGCAACTAAAACATAAAATACAAATGAAATATAAGCCTATACGTCCATGTAATGTTACTGTCTAATAAAAGTTTAAAAGAAACCAAACAGAAACTACTACTTCATGATGCAAGAGGTCACAAGTTCATATTTCTAATATTTTTTATACTACCAGTCATTCACACCATCCACTAAAGACTGTATAAGCCCTGACAATTTTTAAAAACTGACCTAAGTCACCTTTGATTCTTCTTTATAAAGTCTTTCAAATTCTTTTAAAAATATTCTTCTTGAACAGAAATAATTTAATTAAAACTCCTCAACATGTTTAAATATTGGTGTAAGCTAGTCCTAGTTTTCATTACATTGTAAGCCTCACCAACACTTATCTTTTACTAACTTTAATTAGAAATGCTCCTATAATAAATACTCCACGCTTACTTCCTTTCCCAGTCTCATCAAAAACCAGAGGTTCAATTCTACTTGATACAGTCAACAACTTAATAACAACTGACAATAACATGCTTCCCTAGTCCTACATGGATATTACGATTTTACACATCTAAATAAGCCTAGAATTTTCCTCCTCCTTCTTTCCAAGCACAATCTTAACATTAAGGTTTTATTCTCTATCTTAATTCTGCAATTTTTCTCCAACAAGCAAATACTATAAACTCCACCAAGATACTGTGAGTCTCTAGAAAACTATAACTTAATCCTTTACTATCAAAAATGATTGACTTCTTGCATTGATCATACCCTTTGAACTCCATCAAACAATATCCAAAAACCCAGTAAAATAGTAGATACATATAAACACTATCTGAAAAGAAAACCAAGTCCACACTGTAACTACATACTTTCAATATATATATTTACTGGTGATTTAACTAATAAAAAAGGATTAAATAAAAGACAAACAAAAAAGTGCTATAAAAAATAGGAATCTTATAACACAAATTTTGATTTTAAGAAAGAGTAAAACATACTCCTGTTTTATATAAAATATTATAATTAAGCCCACTTAAAAGTAACATATTCAACATATCTCTGCCATAAAAAGTATAAATATTTTTTTGAAGTATTACACAAATAGGGATATTAGTATGGTTTAAAAATTCATAATTTTGTTACGATGTTAAACTAAAACATGCTAAGTTATTATTATTTTTAAATGTACGAAGAATAGATTATATTTTACAGTGTTCAAGTTGGTTACGAGACTGAACAAACTGCTTCTTAGAAAATTATTTAATTTCTGACAAAGTTTGAAAATAGTAACTTAATACTATCAAGAACATGGTTTGTGTAGTTAGGATAGATTATTGTTCAGAAGTAACGAAGTACATTTAATTTTTTGTTGTTAGATGATTAATTGGTGACCTCAATGAGCCAACAGGCTTTCTGTTACAAACTATTGTTGAAGTTCTTGTTTGAAAAATTAAACTAGTTTCAATTACTTTGTTGTAAATGAACTATTACATTTATATGTAAACAGAGTTTTCCAAGCATTTATGAAAAATAAGAAAACCAAAATGCATATTGGCTATATCTGAGAGGTTTTAGGATTCATTCATTATTTTCAATAAATCACAAAAACAAATCAAATAAATGCTAGAAAATGTCAAGAAAAACAACATAAAACAAGACAGAAAACAATAAGTCAATTAGTCTATCAAATTCATCCCTTTACTCACCAAAACAATTATCTAAAATAGGGTATTTGGACAGACTTCCAAGGGTGTTTCATATAAGTGTTGGTGTGAAACATTAACCTAGATATTAGAGGTAAATAGTTTAGGCTTTTTAAGCAGAAATGTATGTTTTTTGTTTGAGTTGCTTACTTTGCCAATTTTTTTGTTCTTTTGTTTTACATTTATAGTTGCATTTATTTTGCTTTTTGTGAATGAATCAGAATATATTTATTCTGTGCTCCATAGAAGTGATTTTCAGGTTGTTTTAAAAAGAGCATTTTCTTCTTCAACAGAAATACAATATAATGAAAAATGTTCTACATCTTTAGTTACTGGTAAACAAGTTCCTAGATTTTTCCAAGTTACTACACCTTGATCCATTTCTTTCAAGAATAACTCGCTACTTGCTTTATTATACACTGAACCATTTATTTCTTCATTAGTCCTGATTATAATTACTCAGCATGTGAACACACAGGCATATCTATAAAAACTGGAAGAAAGGTTACAAACCCTCCCAACTAGGCTATTTATCAACACAATACAGAAACAGGACATCCTATTTCTCTCTCCATCTTAACAACCAAATATAATACTAAACTTCATATAAAAGAAACGTTATACATAAAAACTCTCCTTTCGTCCCTAAATAATATACAGTCTTCATTTGAGTTGAACTTATTTGAACTATTTCACTTAGGCCACATTTTTCATTTTTTGCACGTTATATTTGTATATTCAAATTGTTTACTTCTTATATATATATATATTTCTGTTGTAATTACAAATATTGTTTGTTTGTTTTGTACCTCTAGATTACTGATGATGGAATTATGATGATTCTGAAACATTTAATAAATGCTTCCTAGTATCACCTTCCTGTTTTGCTTTATTATTAGACAAGTAAGATGACAGTATTTGTAAGTTGTACAGTATAACTTATTTTCATTCCTTTCCATTTTGTAATTAATATATGCCTATACCATGTCTATATCTCTTAACTAGACATGAACAAAACATTTATGATTTACCAAATATTGTTTTCTGTAAGAAAAATTCCATTATACATATTTTCTATGCCATACATTTCTTACCATAATTTGTTAATGAGAGAACAGACAGAATTTAGCGTTTTAATTTTTATGTAGGCCAAACATCATACTGTACCTATGTAATACTAATAGTAATAATGTAGGCCTAGTAGTAGTGAAGTTTTAAAAACTAAATACCATAAAGCCTGAGTAACTGGAAGGCTGTTGGTTGAGCTTATGTTGCCGAATTAGCCTAAAATAAAGGCTGCATATCTGCTTAAACCTTATAATGACATTAAGATTTGTACAACAACTAAATTTTTAATAATAACAATAACTGAATAAGGGATTCTCTGCGTTCAACTTAAAAATTTTAGTTAAAATGTTCTGCTCTCTTCTGTTCTGACGTCTAACATAGTAACAGTTACTAAACTAATAGTAATAGTAACAGTTCTGATCTAAAGTTCTAATTTTCAAATTCCATATTCTAATTCCTACACGCTTAAACCTTAAGTTAAACTAAGTTATTAAGTTAAGTTACTATGTAATATAACTTTATTTATTAATATTACAAAAAGAACCGTAATTTTGAACATTAACAATAGTTCGTTAATTCCTGTAATCATTCGAATGCAAGTAAAAATTTATCAAAAAACTATTTCTTAAAAAGTTTGCAACCAAAACACTTACCTATTTACACTTAGGATACAAATATTACGAATAATTAACAGAACCAAAACGTAAGACGCAAAACCAACATGATTCAGAAACACTCGCATGGGTTCACGGGATAGAAAGAACGAAAGACATACGTATGCAAGTCAATTCTGGAAATCCCCTTTTGGCTTAACATTTGTACACACACTAAATCTTGCACTGTGGGTACAACGTAGTTCTCATAACTGTGGTTCTAGGTATTATTGATTTATCTGTTAGTTATTCTATAAATAACGTATATAATTCTAGACCACAGTCAACATAGAAAATAAGATGCTTTCCTGTTGACTACGTCAGATATAATACCATGTGTAATAATCTATATAACTAGGAAATACTTTTACATATTAAAATGTGAGAGAAAAAGAAACAAATTTGAACGCTTTCACTATAAATCAGCTATACATTTGTTACGTCACTTCCCTAAAATTATAATGATTTTAATTGTGGTTATGTTGAACTGTTGATGATATACACTACTGCTTTTGATCTGCAGCCAATTGGTGACTCAGCGGTCAGTATAACAGCATATAATGCTAGAAATCGCGCGATTGGCAGAGCACAGATAAGAAACAAACCAAAAATACGATCTATAAAACTATTTATTTAGACTTTATACTATATACAATTAAGAGCAGTAATCCTCCCTCATAAAACATAATGTATGCTTGTATAACATCAAATAAAACTTTTATTCCGTTTCACCTTTTATTTGAAAAACATTTGTTATATTTCTCTTATGATTTGAGATGATTCTGTGACGTTAACGATTAATTCAATAGAAAAACAGGCAGAACAAAACACTTGATGTAATTATAACCTCTATTTGCATGGGCTTTTGACAAGCGTGATTGAAATTATTATAAGCTGTATCTGTAACCTGTATATTTAGGGTAACATGCAAACGTATTTACCTGCCAACGTGCATATGTGGGTTAGAAATAAAAATAATGAAAATTTATTCAAGTCATCTTAAAGTGTAAATGGATGAAAATACAGTGATATATATATATTTCCCTGGTCATTTCCAGGTATCCCAAACACCGACTTTTAATTTGTAACCTTAAGTACTATTTCATAAAATTAATCCTGCGGATATATTATGTCAAGGAGATTCAGATTTGTAATTATGTTTTGGAATCAGGTCAACTCAACAAGTGCGTTTTAAATATAATACACGTTTAGAACACACACCCAACTCGTGTATGTTGGATGTCTCCATCACTTGTAGGAGTTCTGATATCATTTGGTTTATCGCTATATTCCCACAACTATTCTTTTAATTCATAACGACCAATGACAAATCAACTGACACATTATACCCAAAAATTCACCAATAGCCTTTATATTAAACAATAAGAAAAGTGTTATATTACTAATGAAAATAAAATTTGTATTTGCATATATGACGTTTAATATATATAAATGTGTAAATTTAACCATCAAGTGTTGGTGTTTTAAACACTTTGCACTTAATACAATTTATGACTTTCCTTCATTTAGAAAAAAAAAATCTCGGTTTGCAATTAATGTTACTTTCCAGTGCTCCCCTCCCCAGTGGTACAGCGGTATGTCTGAGGATTTACAACGCTAGAATCCAGGTTTCGATACTCGTGGTGGGCAGAGCACAGAAAGACCATTGTGTAGCTTTGTGCTTAAGTACAAACAAACTTTCCAGTGAAAATAAATAAGGTTCGTTGTATTTCGGTATTTTAACAGCAATCTAGTTCATGATAGCATCCAGAAAGATTGCTATTACGCTAGAGAGATCTGAGAAAAGTATTAGGTCGTCAAGAAATTAATGTCGTGTTTTCTTAGTCAAACACCCGAACAACTTATATGTCAAAACAAAACATTTAGTAAATGAAATAGTCTCCATTCTTATCGATGATGCTTTTC